ATTAATAAGAGAAGAAACACAGAAGAGGAGCTAACTTTGAGACTGAATTTAAGACTTTTGCAGACCATATACTATTCATGATCATCATGCAGCTGACCTGCACATCTAAGATCAAGAGGAAGGTCGAGGGTGCAAATACATAGGTAAAAGAAGCTGGGGCTTGGAAGAGAGAAAGAGACATAGAATATGAAGAACAAGAGAGCCACACACTGAACTTTGGGCACAACATTTAAAGGGAGGGTTGAGAAAGGCAAGCCAGTGAGAGCCTAAGATTCTACATAGGTTCAGGGGGGAAAGAAGAGGGTGAATAGTGTCAAATGCTGTATAGAGGTTAAGTAGCAAGAACAGTGAGAGGCCACTGGATTAGTCATCAGTGGGCGATTTGTATTCTTTGAGAGAGCAGTCTCAATGGGTGGGAAGTAGATCTTAGGATCACTCAGGAACAGGTAGAGGGTTGTCACTGGCAGAGAGAATTCTTGGGGCAGATATGTGACAAGAGAGACATATGAACCTTTGTATGGCGAAAATGGAGTAGAATTGGGAAGAGTGTCAGAAGAAGGCAGTTCCTCAAAGCAGCCTGAGTAATGGGAAATAAGGCTGTTGCATGGACATTAATGGGTTCAGCGGTGGTGGGGGAGGGTGTATGCCTCCAACTTGAGGGCTGCCCTACCCCCACTGGGTGCTGTCCTACTGAATGGTTCCAAAGAGTAGTAGTAATTGTAGAAGTAGTAGTAGAATTGTAGAGCTGTAGAAACCTTTCAGATGAACCTAGGTTATGAATAAAGAACCTTACATTGTTCAGGACAATTCACAAAAGAGAAATCAGCTTCCTTACTGATTCATAACATAACATAGCAATCAAATTTCTCTCTAGTAGTTAACAATCCCACCATATCACACTTGCTCTCTCCTGCTTCTCTTCAAGGAAAGATGCTCCAGATACTTGCAATATATTCCCCCCAACTTTTTTAGAAGTATAATGTGAAAGAACTGAAAGGAAGCAAAGGTAACTTAGAACTCCTAAATTTCACAAGTTATTCAAAACAGCACTGGTAATAGCAAGCCTATTTATGAAGCGGTGAGATATATTCTGCTTGTACTGCTTAGGCTCAGTATCCTCTGCAACATGTCCAGGACTTGGCCTCTATGTGGCTCCTGTCTGGACCTGACAAGGAACTAGATATGGTTGCTAGACAATTGTTTTCTGAATTCTGGTTAGTTTGAGATCAATGAGCAACTTGCCTTTTTCAACTGGGATAGAGTTGCTGGGTGGGTGTCAGGGGAGAGAGTTGCTATAAACTTTGTTTCATTTTGTTTTATATTATTTTTTTTCTAATTGTAGAACTTGTATGGTAATGAAGAATTACTACTAGAGAGAGATAGATAAGATAGGGAAACCTTGGATCCTGGATAATCTAGAGCCAGAATTTCTGGCAATGTCTTTTCTCTGCCTCAGTTATATACCCTATGCTACCTTAAATCAGAGGCTGGGTTGGTAGGGTGGAAAGAGAAAAAACACACACTATTGATTTTACTTCCATTTTCTAAGCCACACTTTGGGATAAACTATTCATCTTTCCATCATCATCAACTATTTATTTTGAGCATTTACCAAAAGGCAAAAAAAAAAAAAAAAAAAGAAAGAAAAAGAAAGAAAGAAAGAAAGAAAGAGAAAGAAAGAAAGAGAAAAAGAAAGAAAGGAAGGAAGAAAGGAAACAATCTCAGTAACTCTTTTAGAACTTTTCCTAGGTGAATGCAGAGTCAGAAACAATCACATAGTTATGGCAGCTTCCTTCTCTCAATCTTTTTATATAGGTGAAGTCAAAGTACATTGAGCATCAAGTGAAAAAAATGTATAAAAAATATGCAAGTTTGCAAGGTGTATTTGAGTGAAAAAAGGCAGACCTGTTTGTTTTGCTTAGAGAACTAGGGGTAGGAAGGCAGGAAAAGAAAAAATTAAGTGGGGTTAAAACCTGATTTTGTGTATGAATCTTAGGTCTTTTTGCACTAGCTTGTAAAGAAACTGTCTTCTCCCCTACTAACTACTTCCCTGGGTCTCTGTAGACCTGCAATCAAGAAAGTATCTGTTGAAAACTCAAGTCTGACCCTGCAAAGTGCCATAATCCAGAAAGAACTCTGTAATTATCATCATCTCTACTTTTTCTCCTCCTATTCGCTCACAGCAATATCAGGTTTTGTCCCTGCTTCTCTGATAAAACTGTCCTCTAAAGGTAAAAATTTCCCAGCTATTAAATCCAGTGGTCACTTGTTGGACCTTACCTCACTCCTGCACTCTCTCTGGCATTTGGCATTATTGGACATGCCCATCTTCTCAGCACACTCTCACTTTGGACTCTTATGTCACTATTCTCTCTAGCCTTACTATCCATCTACTCTTCTCAGTCCCGAATGCTATTGCTATAGTTAAGTCCTCATTGTGGCATCTCACTGTGGTTTTGATTAGCATTTTCTTTTTTTAAAAAAGATTTTATTTTATTTATTTGAGAGAGAGAGAGTGAGAGAGAGAGCACAAGAGGGGGTAGGGTCAGAGGGAGAAGCACACTCCCTGCCGAGCAGGAAGCCCAATGCGGGACTCGATCCCAGGACCTCGGGATCATGACCTGAGCCGAAGGCCATTGCTTAACCAACTGAGCCACCCAAGCACCCTGATTAGCATTTTCTTAATGGTCAATGATGTTTAATAGATTTTCATGTATTTGATGGTCATTTTTATATAATTTCTGGAGTAACATTTATCCAATTCATAGGTACATATTCAAGAGAAATGAAAGCGTATGTCCAAACAGAAAACCTGTACCCAAATGTTTGTTGCCCATTTAAAAAACTGAGTTGTCATTTTGCTGATGAGAAGTAAAAGTTGTTTTTACATTCTGAATACTAAACCTTATTGGATATATGATTTGCAAAAATTTTCTGTTTTGTGGGTTGTCTTTTCAGTTTCTTGATGATGTCCTCTGAAGCATAAAAGTGCTTAATATTGATGATACCCAGTTTATCTGTTTGTTCTTTTCTTGTACTTTTGGTGGCATACTTAAGAAATCATTTGCCTAATCCAAGGTCACAAAGATTTATGCCTGTTTTCTTCTAAGAGATTTAAAACTTTAGCTATTATATTTAGGTCTTTGACCCATTTTATATTAATTTTTGTGTATGGTGTGAGGTAGGTATCCAAATTCATTTTTTTTTTTTTTTGTGCATGTGGCTCTGCAGTCTTCCCCGTCATCTGAAGAGATTATTCTTTCCCCTCTCAACTGAGATGCCTTGGCATCTTTGCCAAAAATCAATTGACCATATGAATGTGAGGATTTATTTCTGAACTCTGTGATATTCCATTGATCTATATGTCTGTCCTCATGCCAGTACCATACTATCTTGATTACTGTAGCTTTGTAATAAATATTGAAATTGGGAAGTGTGAGTCCTCCAAATTTGTTCTTTTTGTTTAAAAATGTTCATGTCTGTATTAATTTTCAGATCATTTTCTTAATTTCTGCAAAGAAATCAGCTGGGATTTTGTATTGAACCTGTAGATGAATTTGGAGTATTGCTGTCTTAACATTAAGGTTTCCAATCCATGAATAGGATACATATTTTCATTTATTGGGATTTTCTTTAATTTCTTTCAACAATTATTTGTAGTTTTCAGAGTATGAGCTTTGCACTTTTGTCAAATTTATTCCTAAGTACTCTATTCTTTTTCATGCTATTCCAAATGGAACTGTTGATTTCATTTTTTTGTTTGTTCACTGTGATTGTAAAGAAATATAGTTGATTTTTGTATATCAACCTTTTATTCTGCAGCCTTGCTGAACTCACTTCTTAGTTCTAATAGTTTTTTTGTGGATACCTTAGGGTTTTCTATACATAAAATTATGTCTTTAATTAATACAGATAGTTTACTTCTTCCTTTCCAATCTTGATATCTTTTATTTCTCATTTTTATCTAATTGCCTTGGCAAAGCCCTCCTGTACAATGTTGAAATGCATGAATAGAAATGGTGAGAGTGTCTTGTTCCTGATCTTGGGGGGAAAGCATTCAGGTTTTCACCATTAAATACACTAGGTGTGGATTTTTTTTTTTTTAAAGTATAGTTGACACACAGTGTTACATTAGTTTCAGGTGTACAACTAAGTGATTTGACAGGTTTATATATTATGCTATGTCTACCACAAGTGTAGATAGAGGTGTGAGTTTTGTGAGTGTTTATCAGAAACACTCTAATTTGTTGAGTGTTTTATCAGAAAGGGGTGTTGAATTCTGTCAAATGTCTTTCCTGTAACAATTGAGATGATCGTGTGGTCTCTTTTATTCTACTGATGTGGGAAGTTACATTGATTAATGTTCAGATATTATACCAACCTTGCATTCCTGGGTTAAATGTAAATAAATATTTCTTAGATTGAATTCATAATGAGTAAATTATTTGAGGATTGGGTAAAAATTAATTCAATAAATGGCCAGAGAAACAAGACTGGAAAATAATTTCCATATTAAGATAATAACTAGTTAGGAATCATGGGAACTTTGGAAGTACAATTGTTATTGTGAAAAGATTAAAAAAAGATTGTAAGAATATAAATTAATGCGCTTTACCATTCTTTGAATCCTCTACTTTTCCTTTAAAGTCTGGAATTAGATCTTCATAATATTCTGGATTTAACAAAATTTAACAACCTGTCTCAAATATCCCTACTCTATAAAAATTACTATAATGCTTTCGTCATAGGTTTGCTCCATCTTTTCTATTTTTATCTCCCTCCCTCCCTCTCTTTATCTCACTCTCATACACATATCCTTTCCAAGTATTGTCCTAAATAAAAGTATCATTGATATCTATCCTTCTTGGATATTTTTAAGTACTTACACGAAAATGGTATCAATTGAGAGTTTAGTGATATTTCTGATCTTCTAATCAGCTTCCACCCTTACTGCTGTTAAAAAGACCCTCATAGACAACCATAAGGACAGAAAAACTTACTTTTAATTATGACCCCAAGAATGATCAATATCTCAATTAACAGGGACAAGGGCTTCATCTTCTCCTAAGCAGCTCCTCCTCACTATAACACAGGCAGAACTAGGTGGCTGACCCACAAGCTTCCTCTTTTCAGGTCTGTTGGGGGGGGGGGGGTGTCAAGATTTGGTTGCTAAGCAACCATTTCCTCACTCTTGGGCCAATGAGCTGCCAGGAAATTCCTTTCAACTGGAATGAAGGCAGCTCCTGAAGAGAGCAGACTATGGGGAGGGAGCCAAATCTAGTCTGCTACTCTGGTAGGAGATAAGGGGTAGGTTTGAGATAGGTAAGAGGCAACTCTTACCTTACCTATCTTCCTCTAAAAGGAAAGGAAGAAACCAGAAGTCCAATTTGTACATGTCCACAATAATGTGCAAATAATATTTAGAGTTGCTAGAAGTTCTTATTCTTATTTTACCTTCAGCAGTACAAGCTGCACTTAAATGAAAACACAATTAAGTATATGAGCCGAACTGACAGCATCCTGTACTCTAACATCTAAAGGCTATGGTGGACAAGAAACATATGGACCAAGTCTGCTTTGGTCCCCATCTGGGTGAAAATGTTTATCTTCTGTTTGAGTAAGAAACTGTTGAGGTTTTACTGGGACAAAGGCAAACAAGTCCCAGTGATCAACGACTTTTTTTTGGTCAATGACTTTTTAAAAAAGGTATTTCATTACACTTTCATTAAAAGGTATTTAAAAACACCTTCACTATCTTTAACAATATGGGCATTTCATAAGTGGGTACCCTCAAGGTTAGGGCCAGAAATGAAAATTAATATTTAGGTAAAAGCATGGAAATATTAAGACTATCTAAGGAATGGAGCTAGCTGAGAAAATGATGCTGAATATATGTTAAGCTTTTACAGTTTTACAGGTAATTACTTCAGAAAGAAACATATTTATTGCTTTGAATTTCCAGGTTTACTCCCTTTATTAAGTAGTTTCCCAATGCTTTAATCTCTGTTTTCTTCTTATAGGGACACTTGTGATTACATTTAGGGCCAACCATGATAATACAGGATAATCTTCCCATTTCAAGATCCTCAGTCATATCTGCAAAGTCCCTTCTGCCAAATGAGGTAACATTCATAGGTTCCAGAGATTAGCTCCTGGAAATCTTTGGGACCATTATTCAAAATAGTCCTTAGTACGTTTTCCTTTCATCAAGGGAGTTCAAAATGGGATTTTCCTAACTTCTGTACTTTTAAAAAAAAACCTAAATATAATTGATTTAAACTCTTAAATATCATCTGTTAAGCATTCTCCAAATAATCTTTTTTTTTTTCATTCCCCATTTGGATCTAGATTTATTAGCATCTTTCAGCAGATGATTTTTCTTCCTACTTTTACTGAAACTGAGCTCACCGGACTTGTCTTCCCTCTACTTTCTTTTTATTTAAAAATTTTTTGAATCTCCATTCATCACAAAATATGAAATGCCCTTTCTATATTCTACTTTTGATTCTATCTACATTTACTTTATCTTTTTCTGGTATTTCTGTCTAACATTTGTCCTTCTTTTCTCTCTCTCTCTTTTTTTTGTTTCAATCTTTTGTCACCAGCCTTCTTAATTTAAACACTTTTCATTTCACGTCTCAGAAAAATTTTACCTTGGCTTTGGTATCCTTTCAACTTCTATCTCCTCTAATTATTCTTTAGCCTCTAAACATGTCAAAAAATATTTCACAATCACTACTTCTTGTTTCTCTCACTTCTTCAATTGTTTTTATTTTCACTGATTCACATAGACTATAAATCCAATGGTCTTTTCTCAGTTCTCATCCTATTTGATCTCTGTGAGATATCTGACATTTCTGACCACAAACATCTTGAGAATATATTATTGGTTTCTCTGGAAACTGAATTGCAATTATTTTTCTAATTTCTTGAACACAATTTCTCACTCATTCCATCACTCCCTCACTCATTCATTAATTTTTGAATAGCTACTGTATGCTAAGGATGAATGGTCACTCTCCTTCAGGCATTTGTTAATTTCATTTGTTATTTCCTTTCTTAGCTTCACATTAACATTACGGCCTCTCCAATGTAACCCCTTTTGGTCTCATGTGCTCTTCCTTAGTTTTATCAACATCTCTGTATGAATAATGCTCATTTAAAGTTTTTCTCATTCAATAATTTTTATTGAGAACCTATTATGTGTCAGGCATTGTGCCATTCTCTGTGGGTAGTGAGCAAAAAGATATATTTCCTGTCCTCAGTGAGTTTTTAAGTCCAGAGTGAAAGATAAATATTAATAAAAGAATCACTAAAATAAATGTATAATTACAAAGTGTAAAAAATGCTTCATAGGAAAATAAATTAGCAATGAGGGCATATAAAAGAAAACTGTGGGTAGAGGTCAGGTGGGGTCAGAGTTAGGGAAGGCTTTGCCAGGGAATGATTTTTAGCCTAAACTCTGAAGAGTAAGAATGGGTCCACTAAGCAAATCATGTCTCAGGTATAGTGGCAAACATGTGAAAAGACCACATGGTGTGAATAAGATGTGTTCAAGGAAGTGAAAATCTCTATGGTTGGTATGATTGGAACCAGAGATTGAGTGGTGGGGGTGGAGCAGAATTGGTAGGTGATGGGCACTCCATTCTTAATGATTTAGTTTTTGTAAGACTGTAGTAGTCAGCTTGGGCTGCCATAATAAATGCCATAGATTAGATGGCTTAAACAGAAGAATTTTTTAAAAGATTTAATTTATTTATTTGGCAGAGAGAGAGAGAAAGAGAGCACAAGCAGGGGGGAGCGGCAGGGAGAGGGAGAGGAAGAGGGAGAAGGCTTTCCCCTGAGCAGGGGGCCCGATGCGAGGCTCTGTCCCAGGACCCTGGGATAATGACCTGAGCTGAAGGCAGGCGCTTAACGACTGAGCCACCAAGGCACCCCAACTGAATTTTTTTCTCACAGTTCTGGGGGCTAGAAGTCTATGATCAGGATGCTGATATTGTCAGTCTGGTTATGGCAAAGGCTCTCTTCCTATCTTGCAGATGGTCACTTTCTCACTGTGCCTTCCCATGGCAGGTATGAGGGGTAGGTGTAGGAGGAGGGGGAAAATAATTGCAATTCAGTTTCCAGAGAAACCAATAATAATAATATATATACGTGTGTATATATATATATATATACACACACACACACACCTTCCTTTTCTTATAAGGCCACAGTCCTACTGGATTAGGGTCCCATGCTTGTGACCTCATTTAAACTTAAGTACCTCCTAAAGACCCTATCTCCAGATATAATCACACAGCCAGCTAAAGTTTCAATATATGAATTTTGGGGGAATAAAATTCAGTCCAGAGCAAAGAACACCAAAAAGTCATTGAACAATTTACACCAGTGAGATGACATGATCACATTTGACAAGGTAACTCCAGATGCAGGGCAGAGAATGGACATATGAGGGGCAAAAGAAGACATGGGGGCAGGTTAAGAAGCTTTTTGTAATAGTCCAGTTAAATTCTTACTGAGTTTACTGCAGTGCCATTGGAAAGGAGAGCAATTCAAGAGTGATACAGGAGATAAAATTGAGACGATATAGCAATTCATTTGAAATGAGAATGAAGTTGTAAGAGGTATCAGGGATGGTGTTTAGGGTTCCTAACTGTTCAATTGAAAGGGTGATGCAGCCATTCAGAGAGATAGGGGACCCTGGAAGAAATTTAAGTGTGGAGGAAAGTTCATGAGTTCAGTGTGGTACATGGTAAATTTTAGGTACTTTTGAGACATTAAATATTGATATTTAATACTCTTGTATCATAATGGTATTTTGTCGGAATAATTAATACTTAATGTTGAAACAAATACCCTCTAAATACCAATGCTTTAACATAATAAAGTTTCTTGTTTATATCACAGCCTGATGTGGTACTCCTTGGATCCTTGAAATACTCCTTCAAGCAATGATTCAGGGATCCAAGCTCCTTCCTTCTTGAGATGCTGTCTGAGATCACCATGGAAAGAAAAGAGAGAATATGGATGAGTGTACAGAGGATTTAATGGTTAGGCTTGGAAGTGGCATATATCACCCTTGCCTTATAACCCACCCAGGATGCAGTCACACGTCCTATCTAACTTCAAGGGATGCTGGGAAATATAGTCTTCCTACAGGTCAAGAGAGAGAAAATTGGGTTAGTGAACATCTCTGTCACATTTACTAGGTGCTAGTCACTTTACGTGTTTATTTCATCCTCACACCAAAGTAGATACTATATTATTATAACCACATAATAATTAAAAAAGCAAGGGCACCTGGGTGGCTCAGTCGGTTAAGCGACTGCCTTCGGCTCAGGTCATGATCCTGGAGTCCCGGGATCGAGTCCCGCATCAGGTTCCCTGCTCGGCGAGGAGCCTGCTTCTCCCTCTAACCCTCCCCCTCTCATGTACTCTCTCTCTCTCATTCTCACTCTCTCAAAATAAATAAATAAATCTTAAAAAAAAAAAAAAAAGCAAGATGTAGAGACTGAGTAACTTGCCAAGACTCACATAGCAATAAGGGTGAACTTAGGATTTGAATCCAGATGGTCTAGTTTCAGGTGCCTTTTAACCAGTACATAACACTGCCTCTTAAAGTTGATATTGAATGGTAGCATGTATAGGTTGAAAATTCAAGAAGAAATTTTTGCTGAAGATAATTTTTGGGAGTCATTGGTATAACTCAGGGTTTCCCAACTTCAGCAGTGCTGAAATTTTGGGCCAGATGATTCTTTGTTGTGGGGGTTGTTCCATGTACTTTAGGATGCTTAACAGCATCTTTGACCTCTGCCCACTAGATGCCAGTGGCACTCTTCCCAGTTGGGACAACCAAAAATGTCTCCAGACACTGCCAGTGTCCCCTGTGGAGAACTGCCCCTGGTTGAGAATCACTGTTATACCTGAACCATGAGTATGGATGAAATTATTCAAAGAAAAGGTATAAAGTGAAAAGAGACAAAGGGCTAAGACTAAGTCTTAATGAACTCCCAAATGTAATGGCTGAAAAGGAAGACGGGCCAGTAAAGGAAATTAAAGGAATGGCCACACAGGTGGAATCTCAAAAGGGTGAGAAAAATTGAAGGAAAAGAATGCTGCAAGGAGGAATGAGAGGTTGAGTGTTAAATGCTGCTGAGAGATCTTGTAAGAGAAAGACTAAAAAATGTCCATTAAATAGCACATGAATGTCACTGTTCACCTTAATAAGAGCTGTTTCAGTTGGTTAATAAGATAGAACCCAGAAGAAAGTGGACTGAAAAGCAGAAAGTGGATTGTAAGGAAATTGACACAGCAGGTACTGACAACCATTTGAAAAGGAACGAGAAATAGTTGGAGGGTGTTGTGGAATCACAGGAGGAATTTTTTTTTTTTTAACATGGAAGAGACTTGAGAGTTTCAAAGTTGATGTATGGTTCCAGTTCCTTGAGTTGCCATGAAACAAAGAATAATCAGTAGCATAGTGTAAGGTTCCTAAGAAAGCATAGGTGCACTCTAGGCTGGGGTGGAAACAGTCTCTCTCGTAACAAAAGGGATAGTGCCCAGGCTGATGCAATTTCCTGCAGACACTTTACATGTAGTATTTCTAAATAAGAACTCAGTATATTTCTCATAAAATCTGCAACTGCTCCTGGATTGCCTAATATTATTAATAATACTGCTATTCTCTTCCTAAACTATTCCATGAAACTCTTATCTTCTCTCTTCCTCATCCTGTTCCCAAAATCTATTCCATTACCAATTTTTATCGATTCTACTTTTGTAATGTGTCTTGAATCAGAGCCCTCCTTTTACTTCCATTGCCAAAAAATAAGTGCATATTTTTATTACTAGCCCAAGTGTCACTTCCTTCTTGAAACGTTCCTTATTTCTCCCAGCAAAATTCACAATATTAAAAGAAAAACAGAAGCAGAGACAATGTTAAAATAAAAATTATTAACTTACTATGTCATGAATCATACTCATGACTCATGAGTGTCCTGTTGCTCAAAACGTTTTCTTTTTTTTTTTACGATCCTTAATAGGACCTTCCTTTTTTTCTCCTTTTTTTATTATTAAAAAAATGTGCTGCAAATATTGGCTCTTACACACCGGGCTTAAGTACTGCACAGATAACATGGCAACCCCAATGATCAAATAAATGTGGATTCACTACCTCCACCAATCAGCCTTGTAGATGGTCTGATATTTAGAAATGCAATACATTTGGGGGAGGGAGTTGTCAAACTTCCTCTAAATTCTAGGTCACCCTACTCTTGTGGTGGACTGGATATTCAGAACACCAACAGATTAGTATTACCCAGAATCAAGCCAGCCCTTTAGTTGAAGCAATTGGAGGAACAAAAGGATAAGATGACTTGGCTCTGGTTGACACCCACTAGAATTTGCTTTGATGTAAGATTTTTATTTCCAATATAACATTTTGGTTGTCCACTAAGTTCCTAAAACCCTGGTTTAGCACAGTTTGTCTTTGCTCTTTCCAAACTTCACCACACTCCAGCGAAAACTGTAATTTTTACTACAAGGTTGAGAAGCTGATTGTGTATGGTCCGGAATTATTTCCCAATCCTCTCTCTTCTTCGGGTTATATTTACTCACCAAGAAGAAAGCTTCAGATTATCTGGTAAAATCCATCCAGACGGGTCAGTTAGAGCAAACATGGACAATTCGCGTTGATTCAGTTCTCCTCCCACTTTCACATCCTCCAGGGGCAGAGGCAGCTTTCGCCAGCTGGTTCGCCAGTCACCTCGCACACCTGGCCCTATAGGCCACGCCCTCAGTTTCTCACAGCGCTGCGAAGCCGGGGCAAGCGCCAGCAACCTCACGCTCCTCCCAGGCGTCCGCTCCACGCCCCGCCCCCCTAACGCGAGGCCATCTCCAGCCCCCTCGCGCCCTGGCCCCGCCCCCTCCAGCTCCCCAACGTCCTCGGCGTCTGGCCCGAGCCTGCGCCTGCGCGTGCGCCCTGGGGCCGAAGTAGGGGCGCGCGGTGACTGGAACGCGGAGAGCGGCGGGCGGTGCAGCCAATGGGAGGCGTCGCTGGCTAGCGGCTGGGAGGCGGGGCCTGCGCGTGTTAGGTTAGCGCGAGGCGTGACCTAGTTGACAGGCTCTGAGGTGCTGCTGTGGCGGCGGCCGCGGGGCTGAGGCTGTTGGGAGCCGAAGCCTAGCGCGGGCTGAGGGAAGAGGGCAGCGTTTGGCGAGTGGCGCGGGACCCGGAGCCTCTTGCACTTTTTTCCTCCCGAGTGCCCCCTCCCACCCCTCCCACTCCACACACACCCTGTTTGCCCGTGAGCCTGGGGAACTTGCAGCTTAAAGCCAGCCACCCCCACGGCAACATGTACCCCAGCAACAAGAAGAAAAAGGTGTGGAGAGAGGAGAAAGGTAACTGGCCCGTCGAGTCCTGGGGGTGCGGGGGGTGGGGGACGGGTGGGGGCGGGGGTCAGGGCTGTGTGTGCCGCGGCGCCCTCCGCCCGAGCTCCCGCCTCGCGCCCGCCCGGCAGGTGCCGCCTCCCTCGCGAGTCCGCGTGTACACACGCGCGCGCACACCAGCATGCACGCGCCGCCCCCGGGCACCTGCAGCTCGCGCACGTGTGGGCGCACGCCCCTCTGCTGCCTGCTGCGCCCGGTCACCTTCTCCCGATGCGGGGCTGCCTTCGCCTGGCTGGTGGCGTGGACCCCGCGCGGCAGTCCTCGGGAGCGGCACAACTTGCTCAGGTCCCCCATCCTCTCCTGGGACCGCAGCTGAGACTTTCGGACTCCCGGCCAGGTTGTCCCAGGGACACTTGCCTGCCGGCGGGCGCACAGGCTGCAGCTGCTGCTGCGCCTCTGCGCCCAGCTGACCCTCATCTATTCACTCCTCGCCTCTGTCCCCAACCCCCCAGCTGGCAGAGTGTCTGCACCTTCGGGCGTTTACCCCTTCTCTAGGCCCCTTCTGCGCCGCAGTGTGACTTTTGAAACCTGGAACTCTAGGGGAAACTGAAAACGGGCGTGTTGTCCGTGAGGATAAGTGCTTTCAGAGAAGTCTGAATGGGCTTTTCTCTGCAGTGTGTTTCTGTGTATTTCATCGCCATTTGTAATCAGAAGTTGCTCAGTGTAAGATTGTGAAACTTATATCACTCTCGATGAATGAACTTACCCCTGAATTTTGTGCATATTAAAGCTTATCCAGATCGGCTAGACTGACAAGTGGCACTGATTCCTGTAAGACATAGAAGTGTGCCATCCAATCTTCTTTTCTTTCTCCCTCTCCTCTTTTTCTCTGGCATTATAGTTAGATAATATTCCGAGATAAAACTTTAGTCTCTGGCGTTTTTTCTTTTCATTCTTTTCACACTTTTTTTTCCTTTAGCTTTTTACAGAAATGTAGCAAAAAGTACTTGGCGTTGCTACTGATACCATAGACTAAACCTGCGTATCCAGAGTGAGGTCGGGTGAGAGTAGTGCAGATCTCTCCTTAGTATCCCATCTTCTTCATATTAGAAGGATAATGGGGTGACTAGGTTGAGAGTTGATTTCCGTGGTAATAGCTCTTTAAAACCTGTAGATTGTTTTTGCAAGTCCTGGCATTTATAAACACTAAGGATTTTTTTCAAATTAGTGGGAAGATTTAACATAATTGAACAATCCAATTAAAGTGGCTTTGAAAATTTTGAGAGATTAGGTTGTATGTCATTTAATTATGTCTTAATGATTATGGGCTTATATAGAACTAAAAATTCTGTTGAGGATAATAGCCTGGTATATATAAAGTAGTGTAAGATAATCTTTGTTTTTGCAGTGGCAGTTACTTTAGTTTCAACACACTTTCAACAACGATTTACCTTGTAAGCATTGAAAGATCATCTATGCCCATTTTTGTTGATGGTCTTGGAATGTTAGTTTTGTATTGATAAGGCAAAATAATGGAAATCATGGAGATTGTTTGCAATACATGATTCACTGATGAAATTATGGTGATTACTTAAGAAGTATTTTTCTGTCATAACAATGTTCCTAAAGTATCAATGTTATAATGGTTCCTTCATTTAACATCTACATGTTTGGACTGTGGCAAGCAGGCGTTTTAGAATCTTTAATGTCTTGAGGTTTGTTTGTTTGTTTTTTTGCTTCTAACAATAGGGGAAAATATAACCAAATTAATATTTTCTAAATAAAGAAGCAAATGCACAATTAAAGAGTGTATTTAACAAATTAAATTTGTCTTGTCTAAAACTAACCTATTTTTGCATGAAGTTTAATGTTAAAGAAAAACTTACTGTGATTTGAAGACTTTAGTGTATGTCTCAGTGTATCAGGATTTCTATTTTTAAATATTTAATATTTAAAAGTATGTATTGTACCATCAAGAAGGAACTAAGGATTTCTAGTACGGTAGTTAGTATTAAAGAAGCTGATGGGATGCATGACCTTTTTTCTTTCATTGAGCTGGTGAGGATGGTATTGTATTTTTGCGGCTGTTATTTAAATCTAAAGGAAGGCTTATCCACCTCATTGAAATGTCAGGGCATTCTGTAAACACACTTTAGCTCAGTATGCCATCTAATAGTAGGACTGTCTACTTAATATGCTTGGTTCATAGAGCAGATCATTGTAAAGGGAAGCATTCTTTCAGGAAAAATTTTGTGTAATGCCAAAGAAACTGTATGATGTTTGTGGTCCTTAGTATGTTTCATTGTTTAAACAAATAACTGAGGACTTCTTAAGTCCACATATGTTAAACGTTATTGATGTATTATTTTGAGTCCTAATTGAAAACCACTTAATGTGTATTATAATTTCAAGTACTGGAACATAAATTATCTCTTTGTTTTATCTTATTTTCTTATTATTGATCTTGTTTCTTTTCTAAGAGTCCATACTTAAATGTTTAAATAAATGGAATGACCGAGGCCAGGTTGCATTTCTATATTACCTTCTGACATTTAGTAAAACTACAAGTTGCTTCATAATCTCTCTCAACCTGATCACTGATATTGCAATATTTCTATATTAGTGATCTGAACTCTTTTAGTAGTGGTTTGATAAGTGCTAGTCATGCCTTTCTTCCTTTGTGTGAGTATTCCAAATTTACCATTTCCTTCAAGCTTCCTATTTCAGGACCCCCTCCTCCTATATTAAACACATGACATTTCCTTTTAATTCATTTAGAAAATACATGTCATATAACATGAACAGCCCTAACATCTGCCTCTGTCCATTTCTTACATGTCCTTTCAGCTCTGTTCCCGTCTTAAAGGAAGCACTTTTCTTATGCTCTTTGTCTCATCTCCTGTATTCCTTGAAATCTTGTGCTATCATTTATTCCCTTTTGGGGATATTTAGTTTGTCAGTGTCTTTAGGTTCCCCTCCTCAGCCTGTAATGATACTCGAGTCTCTACCCTAAAATACCCTTCTTTCCAAAGGGCTTCATCTTGGAGTTGCTGTTCTGACTTCTTTTTCTCAGTTCCCTTGTAGTCTCCTGGATCTCAACTATACTCTAGTGAAACTAATGTTCCTAAATTCACTCGGTAATAACAGTGATGGTACTAATGTAAAAAGAGTTACTATTTGAGTCCTGTTTGTGTGCCCAGCACTATTCTAAGTACAGTAGTCTCCCCTTATTTATGGGGATATGTTCCAGGGCTCCCAGTGGATGCTTAAGACTGCATATAGTACTGAATACTATATATGCTATATTTTTTTTCCGGTATATACATACCTATGATAAAGTTTAATTTATAAATTAGGCACAGTAACCTATTAACAGTAACTAAGTCAATGTGGCATTTCAGAATATTTTATACTGTACTCATCCTTTTTGTGACAATGTGAGATGATAAAATGCCTGTGTGATGAGGTGAATGACATGACATAGGCTACTGCTGACTTTCTGACCGTATGTCAGAGGATCATCTTCTTCCCGACTGCAGTTGACTATGGGTAACTGCAACTATGGAAAGTAAAACTGCAGATAGGGGGGACTACTGTACCTTACATGGGTTATCTCATTTAATTTTCACAACAACTCTATGAGGTAGTATACTGTAGGGTCAGGAGCTTTGAATATTTGTCTGGTTTGAATCTTGTACTGTTTACTAGCTGTGGAATGTTAGGTAAGTTATTCAACCTCTCTGGCTTAATTGCCTCATCTATAAATTGTGTATAATACCTACCTCAAAAAGAAACTGAGACATAAAGAGATTAAAGATCACATAGATTTGCATGGTTTAGGATTAGAATCCAGACAGCTCTGTTAACCATTTTGCTCTCTTTTCAGTGCTGTTGGTGATCCAGTTGATAAAACCAATGGCTTATTAAATTTTATTCTTCCTGATCTTCCTGTAGCAATTGACAGTATTTCCCCTCTTCTACTTATTTATTTTTTAATTTAAATTCAATTAACTAACATGTAGTATATTATTAGTTTCAGAGGTAGAGTTCATAATTTCTTATATAAGTTTTATATAATACCTGGTGCTCTTTACATCATGTGCCCTCCTTAATGTCCATCACCCATTTACCTCATCCCCCCACTCCCCTCTTCTTATTAAAACTTTTCTTTGCTGGTTTCTGCATCATTGGCACTTTGATTCACCTTATACCTCCAGTGACATATAAGTTTTATTTCATTTTTCCCTTCTTTGTGTCCACCCTGTAATTGTTTTTTTGAGGTTTGATCACATCCCTTACCTTTTCCTATGAACTTCCTTTAGGACCAGAAATTTTGTTCATAATTTCCAAAATCTCTAGGCTAGCTAGATCTCTTTCTGGAATTCCAGATTCTTCGATTTCAACTTAAATACCCTTTAGGCATCTTATATTCAGTACGGTGTTGACCCTTGAGTATTGTAGTGGTGTGATTTGATTATATCACATCTGGTTAAAATATCTTGTTATTATTATCTCCTAACGTGGCTGAAGAAAAGACAGTTCTAGCAGCAGGGAAAAATGTTGGCTTCCTGTTTCCTTTTCACTTGTACTTTAATTAATACCTTCTGCAGTTTATTTCTGGAAAGAATATTTTAAAGTGATTATTTTATGAGGGTTAGACACCTAAAACTAGTTACTAGCCTTAAATCCATTCACTTTGCAGTGTGCTAAAAGACAGTTGGAGAGAGTACAACTGTCAATCTCTTTACATTGTGGAGACCTTTGGTAAAGAATATGATACATGACAGCTGACATACAGAAACACCTCATTTGAGGAGCTTTTCTGGTGAAGGTAGTACACTATAGTGACTAATAGTATAGGCTATAGTTTTTGACTACTGGAGATATCTGACTGGATTTTAATGGAAAGCTTGTTTTGGACAGCTACTGAACTTTGATGTGCTTCATTTCCCTATCTACAAAATAATAATAATACTACCAGTTTTGCTGAGTTGTTGGAAAGATGATTTCCATGAAATTATATGTGTGAAGTACCTGGCACTTACAGAGAACTCACTGTTCTTAATTCTAAGATGCATTTTTAAAAACATTTTTTATGTCATTAATTCTAAGATGCATTTTTAAAGATATTTTAATCTTACCAAGATGTGTATTGAAAGTAGTGTTTAATTACCTCCACAAAGATATTATTATTATTTTTTTTAAAGATTTTATTTATTTATTCATGAGAGACGGAGAGAGAGAGGGAGAGAGAGAGAGAGAAGCAGGCTCCTGAGGAGCAGGGAGCCCGATGCGGGACTCGATCCCAGGACCCTGGGATCATGACCTGAGCCGAAGGCAGACGCTTAACCATCTGAGCCACCCAGGCGCCCCTCCACAAAGATATTATTAAATTTATTGTTGATGGCATGTTTGAATTAAGGAAATACTGTGGTGGCTGCCTTTCTTGTGCTCTTAGCATTTGTACATACCCGTCTTAGGATTTTGTATTTTATTTATGTAGCTATTATTTTGTATATTATCCATTCCTGTTTTGTCTTATGAACTCCTCAAGGTTAAGGATCACCTTTGCACCTGCAGTGTATAAACATATTACTTGGCACATAGTAGACTGTTAATATATGTTGATTGAAAGAGTTCATTTATTTCTTGGACTATCATAAGAGTCTTCCTCATCAGGCTCTGACACGCCCCCCCCCCCAGTAATATGGTATTGACACTTTTTAACATTCAGTTATGGAGTCATTAGATTTTCATTTTGATGTTTCTCAAGCCCAACCAGTTCTTTGGTTTGTTTACATGATTAATATCTAAATTATAAAATAATTCCTGAACTTAAAAGTTAAATACAAATGGAGATTCTGCTTTTATTTTGCAAGAACGTTTACTGAAGATGACCTTAGAGGAGAGACGCAAAGAATACGTAAGGGACTATGTTCCCCTGAACACCATCTTATCGTGGAAGGAGGAGATGAAGGGCAAGAGCCAAAATGATGGTAAGTTTCTCAAAACATTTTTCAGGTAGATACTGTTCCCATTTATTTATGACTTCTGTGGGACAATTATTGATAGAAATTAATAACTGGCATTCAGTAAAGAGATAACATTTTTGATATTTGAAGTAATTGCTTGGTTGTCATTTAATTATTTTTAGCAATCTATTGTGTGTTATTTAAACTTAGGAAATTATATTAACATAATTCATGTTATGATATAATGGTCCTCATTTATATTACGGCATTTTTAAAAAACTGTTCTGCAGTTGTTCTTGGAGCAAATAGTATTAAAGATTTGGTGCTTTTGTGGTGTGGCCCTTTGAGTTTATTTTGATTAGGTTCATTTATTTCTTCAGGTTTCTTCAAGTTATTCTAAGGATTGGTTACAGTTGAAAATGTATTAGGAAGAATAGAGAAAAACATTTCCTGTGGTTTTAGAGAAGAATATGTATTTTGTATGGTGTGGTATTATATCTGCATGTAAAGTATTCGTATGACAAAATTTACTCTCAGAGTCTTTATGATTTAATAAGAGTCTAGATTGTTTGAGTGAAGATATGTATTAGCATATAAATAAAATTTTAAGTATTGAAAAGTTACCTGGAAAAAATTCTAAAAAACATGATAGATTTAATGGATGCTTATTATGCTTACCTCTGAACTAGCACTCATTGGTGTTAATGGTCTGGATGTGAAGCTTAGAAGAAATAGGGTGTTTTTTAGGATACTTAACAAATGAGAAAGAAAGGTAACTTTATGAAAGGGACTTGGAAAATGCTAATTTCACAGGTTCTGGTCTTAGATTGATGGAACTATATAGGATACTAAGGGTTCAGAACAAGAAGATTAATACGGAATTCCTGTGGACAAATCTGTGGGAAACAGCAGCCCAATTAGGCTTTGGTGTCTGGGAAGAGAACACATTTACCAGAGTGTTTGCATTTTAGACAGAATTTTTATTTTTCTTTGCTTTGCTTGAAAACATATGTGAACTTGGGCAAGTGGGGGTAGTAGTTCTACCTCATGTTCTAATGGGGTCATTGGACAAACTGATTGGGACATACACATCTAACCTGCTTGCCCAGGGTTTTCAGTAAATGCAAGCTGTTTTAGTAACGATCTAATTAAGACCTCACTCATTGAAAGAGAGGCTAGTGCTATGTAATGAAAAGAATATAGAACTATAGAGCAAAAGGACAGAATTTGGGCCTTGATTGATCTAAGACCATAAGCCTTTTCGTGTTTGGATCTCAGTTATTTCTTCTTTTTTAATAAGACACTGGTATCAAATACTTCGGCACCAGTTTTTTTTATGGCTAGTAAATCTTTTTCCAGTACTTCAGTCATCTGATTTTCTTTCTTAGTTGCTGTTTTAACTGGTCACTGTTCTTTTAAAACAGTTTTTGCCTCTCAGAAAGAGGTAGATTCCTGTTGCTGTTAAAACAATTGACAAAGCAGTAGAGATACCCAGGTTGTATTGCCCAGTGTTGGTCTGCTCACCTCTGCATAAAAGCTTGGCCTTTATGTTGGCTGCTTCTATTTGAATATACACATAACAGTGTAGGGTTGAACTGGGTTATCAGAGAACTCACAGTTGGATGTTTTCAGAGATATCACACACCAAAATATGTCCCTTAAATCAGAAAAATACATTGAATAACACCTGCCATTGTTATTCCGGAACAAGATCCTATGTATTTACTCCTGTGTCCCAATATGAGCTTTATAAGTGGTTACAGCTGCTCTATGTATTTCACTTTTTTCCTTCATGCTTTTTTGAACTGAAAGTTTTCCATGGGGAGTGAGGTGTGATCAAAATTATATTTCTTTTGAACCTGTTTTATTCTTTCTATCTAATGTTACTTGCTCCCCTGTTGTGACCTAGAAATTAGTTGACTAGCCTCTTCTTTTTTTCATGAAACAGAATGGCTCATTCGACAAGTAAGATCTATTTATTTCTTTATATAACATATATCTTTCAAAAGTGCTTTCTTCCAGTGTTACCTATCCAGTGTGTAGTTACACTAAAATATTAGCAAAGAGAGTTTTAGTATTTTAACAGTGTGAAAGATCCTTTAAGAATATAAATTAAAAAAATAATAAAGGACAACGATTTATTTTGAAATGTTTAAGCCACTGCTTATAAATGTATATGTATATAAGTAGGTTTGGATTTTTATAATATCTAAATTTTTTAGGTGTCAGATTTCAAACTAAGTCTTAAAAGAAGTCTATAATTCTTTGTCCTGTATTTTCTGATTTGTAGGACATGAACAGTATTTATTGGGCTTGCACAATATTCCAATTTCAAGTGTTGTAGTTTATCATTATTATTTACATTTTTATAGAGGGACATTTTGGCCTTGATATCCAGGATTACATGGAAAGTTCTCAAGCTATTGTTTTTAATTTTTTTCTTTCTTTGCTCAGTTTTGCTTTAATTAAATGCTTTTTTGTTATTATGTTGTAGTAGAAAGTTAAATAAACTGGGGAGTAGTTGAATGTGTTTGTCATAATTTTGATTTTAAGGCCTCCTAAAATAGGAAACTAAAAATTGCCAAATATAAAATCCTTGTTTGTGTAGAAAGGAGGAAGTAGGGAGATGATCACCAAAAAAACCAAACAAACAATAACCCCCCCAACAACCTGCTTCCTTATTGTTCATGTTCATATTTGTTAACTGCTATTGGCAAATCTCTGGAATTATGTGCTTCACTTAATAATTCTCTTTCATTTGTCAGTTGCTTTATTGAAGGTTATTTTAAAATGCTTGTCTCTTACTATACCGTGTCTCAACACCTGCAATAGTGCCTCATGGGTAGGTGAGCACAATTGGTATGTTAAATAAGAACACCTCAGAGGTTAACCATCTATGAAGGAGAGTTCTGTATTTTTTTTTTCAAACTTTAAAATGAGCATTTAAAAACATATATAAAAATGGGAGTAGTGTAATGAACTTTTATACACCAATCACCCTGTTTCAACAGTTAAAACATGGCCAGTTTTATTTCATTTATACCAGTGCTTCCCACACCTTTTTCCCAAATTATTTTGAAGCAATTCCTATATGTCATATCAATTTTATCTGTAAATAAATGTGTGCATATATCTCTAAAAGATAGGGACTCATTTTTTTTTTTTTTTACTATAACCACGACACTCATCACTCCTTAGTTAATAATTCTTTAATGTAATTAAATATCCAATTAGTAGTAAAATTTTTACAATTGTCTCATAAGGATTTTGCTTTTTTTAATACAGATTTGCTTGAGTTAAGATCTAAACATGGTTCACATATTGCATTTAATATATTTCTAAGTCTCTTTTAATGTATAGTTCCTTTTCTCTCTATCCTCCCACCCCCTGTAATTTATTTGATAAAGTAGGTTATTTGTCTTACAGAAATTTTCACATTTTGGATATTGCTGATTGCATCTTTGTAGTGTCATTTAACATGTTCCTCTGTCCACAGCGTTTCTTATGAGCTGGTAGTTCCAGAGGCTTGATCAGACTTGGGTTTAATTTTTTTTTTTAAAGAATACTTTAGAGATTATTATACCTTCTTTTGCATAATATCACAAGGCACATAATGTTTGGTTACCTCTCTGTATTGATAAGACTGATCACTAGGTTCAAGTATTGCCAGCCTAATTTATCCATTGGAAAGTTCCCTATCAGCTTTTCACCTAATGATTTTCACAGCCATTGATGATCATTGCTTCGATCCATTATTTTTTTAGAGGTTGCAAAATGGTCTATTCTGATTTTATCATTCCTTCTTCATTTATTATTTGGACTGCTATAAAGAACTTATCAACTTTTTTGTTTCCATGTAATACAACTTATACGGAAAAGGCAGAATAAATGCTAAACTCCCTTTTATTTACCAGTTTTTAAATTGAGTTGGTTTCCTGAAATCTTCCAAAAGGAATCAAAAAGTTCTTTTTTTAATTTTTTAAATTTATTTTATTTTATTTTTTAAATATTTTATTTGTTTGACAGAGACACAGCGAGGGAGGGAACCCAGGGAGTTCGGGGAGTTGAGCAGGGAGCCCAATGTGGGCCTTGATCCCAGGACCCTGGGATTATGACCTGAGCTGAAGGCAGACACTTAACGACTGAGCCACCCAGGCGCCTCATCATTTTTTTAACTTATTTTAGAGAGAGAGAGAGTGTGTGTGTGTGAGAATGAGCAGCAGGAGGGACAGAGGAAGGGGGAAAGAGAATCTCCAGCAGACTCCATGCTGATTGTGAAGCCTGATGCAGGGCTGGATCTCACGATCCTACGATCATGACTTGAGCTGAAATCAAGTGTTGGATGCTCAACTGACTGAGCCATCCAGACACCCCTCATTTTAATTTTTGACTGTCATTTTGAATCTCTGTCTCCCTGCCACATATGTATATTAAGTGGGAGTACCTCAATGGTTAACAGTCTACAAAGGTTGTGCATTTGTGTATGTGCATTTTTAAAGTAGAGCTCTCACATAAAAACATACAATTACTAAATTATAGTCTTAGGGTGTAGTAGAAAGGCAAATATAGCTAGATAGATACATGGATGTATGGATGGATATGATAGAAAAAGGGCATTGTTTTCTTTGTAGGGGTGAAAGTTCTCAGGTTTAAATTGTATGTGTTCTGTTCTCCTTTGCTACTTCCAAGCTAAAGTTCTTCTAAAACCCCACTCAAAGAAGCATTGTTGTTACTTTCTTTGGATGGAGCAAAGGATTGGCAAAGACTCTGCTATGCTTATGCTAATTTTGTATTACTAGTTATAGTTAGGGAAAAGAGCTACAGCTTTAAGTTTAGATGTTTGAGGCATTACTTTTAATGTTTACATGGAATAGCAAAGGAGGAAAAATATAATAAATTATGAAGATGAGTTAGATGAAAAATACGGAATTCTTTTACCCAGGTATGACAAATTTTTTTTTAAAGGGGTCATTCAGGAAGAGACTTTATATTTCATATCTTGATATATTTCATATCTTATATAT